GCCAGCGGTCTATCTCATCGGAGTATGAGCAGTTCTTAGTAGACTACCGCTGTGGAATCTTGTGACAAGTTTCTGAGCTAAAAAAAGTAAAGTCTTAAGTTTTGCAAAATGGCGGGAAAACATCACGTGACCGTTCCGTGCATTTCGCCAATTCAGTGGAGAAATCTTACCTTGAGGTCACGATAAGGGTATTTATATACATCTCTTTTGCTTTTTCTATTAATCGAGCCTTCGTCTTTCTCGACAACCAAAAGGCTTTCTAATATCCGATGATGAGATTTGAACAGGAAATGAAATTCTCTTGAACAATAGAGCAAATCTTGAAATTCACTCACATAAGCTGCAGTAGATCTTAAGGAAACATTTCAAAATTACTCTGACATTCCATCAGTTTTTCTAGAAGGCCGGCAGCACAAAAAGCTACAACACAAGGCATTGGCGTTTAATCAAAAGTGACCATGATTATTTTATACGTTTCTGAAACGTTTTTCTATGCGTTTCATTTTTCATTTCCGTTCCAGCCTCGAGGGAGCCGGAGGTGGTGATAATAATAACGAAAATAGGAAATCCACCTTGTTTTCACGAAATAATTGATACATTTTCACTTTATCACGCAAAACCGAGATTTTTCTCTATCGATATAATGCAGCGATGGTTCTTCAAACCCTAAGGAAGCAGGTTTATAAGCATTTATTTATAGTATATTTGTCTATCCTGTTTATTTTAGATATTTACTTTAGAACAGATTTGAAATCAGTGCAAGACATAGGAAGCCTAAGCTTTGTAGCTTTGTATCTGTTACATATGAAGCAATGTGTTGGAGTACCGCTAGTTATGCTCGTAGCGGTTTCAGTTAAACGACTCCTTGAGCCATTTTTTAATTTTTCTGCTTCTTCATATCAAAAATAGCAACAATACGCTATCGTGACAGCAAACGACAAGAAAGACGGAATGTTTTTCCAAACCAATAAACATACTAAAACTCAATTGAATACCTTGTCGAGTAAATGATAATAATAAGAACGTGTTTTTAATAACATTTCAAATTCAAATATGAAAAAAAAAAAATTTTTAATTTTATAAAAAAGAGTTTAAAAAAATTAGCTCATTAAAGCAGAAGTGAAATTACAAGAATCTCTGATCTGAGATGATTGATGGATGCTTATTATAGATAGATGCATATTAATTGTTAATCAATAGAACAATAACATTAATTTTGGAGGGCATATTGTTTATTTGTGGCCCGGGTAGAATCATTTGCAAATGTTGCTGCAAGGGTCACAAATGAACAATATGCCCTCCAAAAGTCATATTATTATCATTATCATCAATATACTAGGCCAAGTTAAGCAAATCTTCAAAGTTGCCGTACGAGATTTTTGGAGTTGAATCTTTGGCAGGCTGCAAACGTATTTGCAGCCCGCCAAAATCCATTATCGCCCGCTGGGCGTGCGTTTTCAAGAGGGCAGTCTGTTGTTTGGCATTGTATGTTGCTGATACATCTGTAATAGTAGCTAGCGTTTGAATGTCAGGAAACAGGCAGCATATCATAGAATAATTCTGTTTGCGTTATCGAGGAAAAAAACAGGACATAATTTAATTGCGGGGTTTCTGTTGTTGCGACGCCGGACAAGCAAGTATCACTACAAAGATACAACTATTCACCCGCTCCGTTGATTTGAGTTAATCTATCTTAAGTATTGACAGGGCCGTAGCAAGTTAGGGGGTCTAAAAAAGTTCGACTAAAAAGACTAAAAATTTTGCTTTTATTTGTAAAAAAATTAATTTCTAATTTCTATTGATTTGATAGTTTATGAATATTAGTTTTTTGAATATGATGGCAAGTCAGTGTTTTACACTTCGATTTAGGCACCCAAATTTCATTAATTCATACGGGATTCCTGTGGATATGGCGGGAAACTTTAAACATGAAACGCGCACGCGTCTGTATTGGCGGGAAAATAGTACATTGCCCGACACGAGTAAAAAACGTCTGCGCATGGTATGAATCCGTATGCAAATTAGTCAAAACATAAGTAAATTTGACTTTCAAACATGCCTGATAAATTGGACTTCACAAAATGCCAAAACTTAGTGTCCATGCTTGAAACTTAAGGCTAATTCTTTCATATTGTGTTTGTTAAGACATTATCTTGATCTGACAAAAGTATACTCTCGAACTTTTTTGTATACTTGGAGAAAACAAACATTTATTTTCTCAGAAGAGATAACTAGCTAAAAACTAGTGTGAGCTGCGTCGGTGTTTCTAATGAAACAGTAATGATAAAAGGGTAAATTATACACCGTGAAAAGATGAAAAAACTTACTTCATCAAAGTTTTTTCATCTTTTCACGGTGTATAATTTACCTTTTTATCATTACTGATTTATTTTCTCACTGAAACCCTTCAAAATTCTTAGAAACGTGCTGAAATGCACGCATGCGCAAACGTTTTTCTCTAGTGTCACATTGCCCTACTTGTTGTCGAGACCTTATTTATGTTACTGGGTACCGATAAAGAAAGAAAGAGAGGGAGAGGAAGTGAAGAGAAGAGAAATCAAAGAAAACGTACAACGAAAAATAATTAAGGGGGGAGGGGGGGGGTGAAAAAGAGACAGAGAACTGAAAAAAAAAAAAAACAAAAACAAAAAAAAACCCAAACGTTAGACTATCAAATCACGATATACATCAATAAATATAATTCTGACAGTTCTTGGTCGGCTAACATCGTTTCTCCACTTTCGGTCAGTAATCTAAAGCACTACCGGTTGTATACTACACACTATCATTGAGATCCAAAGTCAATGTACTGAAATCCGAATAAGTCAACATCCTTTACACTACACTAAGAACTTGTATATATTTCCAATTACTAAAACTCTAAATCCATTGGCTTCAAATAAACAGAAAAAGAGGTTCATTGAAACGAAAACGTATTTGAGCTGTGGCTATCTAACGGCGCCTGATGTCTCGAAGACCAATTTTAAAATTTCCTGTTTTTAAAATAAATAGAAATATTAATTAAGAGCAGCAAGGAAGAAAATTTATTATGAACAAATATACTAAACTTAACGCTATATATCGGCTATATATCGGCTATATATCGGTAGTCTTGCAGGTCTTGAAAGTCACTCCGGTGGGGGTGCCGCTTCAGCGAAGCAATCCCAAACACATTGATTTAGAAAAATATGTTGACGTTTTTGTCAAAACCGAAGAACGTGCTCTTAAGCGCTATGAGTAATTCTTGCTGTGATTACAAGGTTCAAGTAGTTTAATGATGTTTTGTAAATGAAGTCTGTGTGAATTGTGTTCCCAATTACTTATATAAGCTAAATGCTTTGACAATTAAATAAAGCTATCGTTATTATTATTTATTAGCTTGGTTTGAAACCAGCCATTTTGGGTGAAAGACTGTGCGATAGGGCACTCTAGCGCCTCACACCCCTTGGGTCTCGGCATCCTAAATTAAACTCGATATCACTGCACATGAGTAGAGTTTGTTAGGTCTCCCTTGATTCAAGATTTTTTCTCTAGTTTTCGTCCTCCTCAAAACGCCGCAAAACGCTAAATTTCAATTCGATTTATAAGATCATAGCCGTGCCCTTATTTAGATCAGCCCAGAGGTTGTTTCAGGGTTCGTTGAAATTTGAAGGTTGTCACGGATGGAGTCCAAAGGATCATGCATTTACAAAGAATGAGTGACGTTTGTGGCAAGTGCGCTTCCTTGTTTACAGAGACGGGGTTCCTGTACGGTCCTTGGATTCAATAACATATTTATAGTACAAAGACGACGGTATTTTCTTTGATTTCGATAAATAACCTCCGATTCTATTTATTTATTACAACCACCATGGATTTCCAATTACTGGATTCTTATGTTCCATATATGAGTATTGATTGTATAAAGGTCAATACTTTTATTATAGTAGTGGTTGTTAATTGAAACGTGGTACTATACATGTATAGATATGATTCAAAAATATGTATGTAATGCATACATATGCACATCAAAAGAGAAAGAAAGGTGTTCTTACATGCATGTATTCACAAAATCTGTCAGTTGTCAAACTACTATACACGATTTATCCAAACCATCTCATGTCCTGTGTATTTTTAGTTTTTGATTTCATCAGCTGTTCGTCTTTATTTTTCTTTCTATATTAGGAAAAATTCCATTACTGAGTTACCCTGAATTAGCCCTTAATTTTTTTTCAAATATACTACAACCTCAACGAAATAACTACAATTTATGAATCCCTTTATCTAGTATAAATTTCAAACGAACCGAGAGAACTATTCTATATCCAAACCGCGCCAGCCTTCCTCAAAATAACAATTCAATATTCTCAAAATAACATATATAAAATTTCATTCTTCATATAATTCCTTTTATAATCAAGTAACTACTGTACATGTTATTTTTGTAGTCTTTATAATAGTGAGTATATAAGTAAGAGTAATCGCCGTGTCGGTCGGAAAATGAATTGGTGGCAGCGGCGGGCTCTTAGCAAAGCGACCCGAAATATTATAATCATTTATAAACGTGTTTTGAAGGATCTTATTTAATTTTACGCTGAACAACGAAATTTAACCGAAAAGATCAAAGTTTCTATTTTCTGACCGCACATTAGGTCACAAAACCACAGAACAACTGGGATCGATCCGGCGCCATCAGTCCTAAGTCGACAACTCGATCATCTGAATCTGACGATCGACCAGAAAAAGTTACCTTCAATCCAAACAGTGGAACGTGCTTAATTGTATACTACTGGGGAATAAGAAGTAGTGCGATAAGTTGCTGGAAATCTGTTGTCGGCTCGTTTTCAATTGTTACGGATAATTAGGGTTGCTTTAGGTAGGCCAGACTATGGGTGCTTTCGAGTTGAAAAATTAATAATGGTATAAAATATGGGCCTGATTTTTTTTCCAACTCATGAAGTCAACGTTATGTAATCATTCTCACAGAATCATTTGCAATCTCATTTAGTGAATAATCTTACCCGATTCCCTTATAGTGTTGGTACGTCGTTCTATGTTCCCAGTTATTGTTCTTTCCCTCATTCATTCGTTGAGTTGGCTTCCCGTGAAGGTAACACCGAATTCAGACACAAATTCCGCCAACTTACTGGATACAGATCTTTCTTTCATATCCTTGAGCCATCAGTTGATTTGAAACTCGATCTTAATTTCTGTGAATGATAAAATGAAAAGTAGTGAGTAGACGCTAAATGGACTCTAAAATACACCATTTGTATCGTCCCATCAACCATAATGTAATCATATCATTCTAGTCTAGTGAAAATTAAAACAGAATCAAATAACCCCGGTACATAAAAATCAGTTCACCTGATGTAAAGACTGTCAAGATCATTTCGTTTTGTGTCTTATTCGTCACAGCTGAAATACATCAAAATACCCTTGGTTAGATCGTGCTGTAGATGCGTTCTCTTGCTGTTCTAATCAACAGCTCATGCATTCCTGATAATACTCCTTCAAGAGCGACTCACACTCGGTAATTAATGATTGATGAACAGCTGACAATCATCAAAATATGAGACCAAATCAATGGTAAAAATCACCCCTAGAAACACCTACTTATAGTGAGTTTTAAAATACAATTTCGTTAATGCTGGAGCTGTTTGAATAATAAGCGCAAGGCAAACTAAGTTCAGAAGGGAATAAGTGGCCATACTGAGAATATTTAACAAGAATACTTTATTTGATTACCAAAACTACAACATTTCTTTTTTTCATTTTGTTTAATAGTTGCTTCTTAATTAATAAGTGCCTCTTCATGGATTATGCTACGTAAATATTTTTTCTCTCCTAACGAAGCTTAAGGCTAGGCAATTAAATATAAAACAGCAATGGAAATGAAACGGTTCAACAATATACTTTAAACATTGGATAATCAAAGATGTATAAATATTGGCCTGGTTTATATTGCATAGGACAGCTGTTTCCAGTTTACACTAAAAACATTCTCAATCCACCATTCTAGTCAATGAACGTCTAAAGAACGCATAGATATTCATGAGACTTTGTTATTTCGTGTTTAGATCTCATTCAATCGTACCGTTAAAAATCGTTAAGAAACGGATTTCAGTCGAGTTTATGGGATATTTAATAATGTTTTGAAACTTCAAATTTCATCGACCCTGAAACGACCTCGATTCTCACGCTGGGCTGGTCTAAGTCAGGGCACAGCTAACTCACAAATTACCCTGAAACCACCTCTGGGCTGGTCTAAGTCAGGACATGACTAACTCACAAATCACCCTGAAACCACCTCTGGGCTGATCTAAGTAAATTAGTAATAATTATAATAAAAAAATGTGAATTAGCCGGAACTTGTAACTTACGCATTTGCTGCATAAAATAGACGGAGCAGTAAGTAACTGCCGCATAAATGGAAATGGCTCTTAAATGGTATCCGAATGACGTGTGTCATTTTTGATTGGAGCAAGCCATTTTGAGATTTATATCAGAACTTTTGATTTTTTTGTTTTTTTTAGGAACAAGCATGCGGAAAGCGCCGACTGGTAACGAAATGTTGATCTGAGGGTACGCACTAATACTTTACCATATTATTCTACAGAATAGTAAGTATTTACCAATACGGCGGCCATCTTGAATTCTATTGTTTGGAATGCCGAGGGGGCAACTATCGGAAAAATGTATAGACAGCACAGCTGTCAGGGCGTCTTTTGATATGACTTTACGCTTTTTAATGAGAAGCACATCTAAAAAGCAATTGAATTTGCTGGTAGTTGGAACAATATGTGGAACACCTAGATTTCAAATTATTGGAAAACATAACTCCGCCACTCAATGCTTTATTAATATCCTATATTGCCCCCTTGATATAAATCAAGATGGCGTCGTACCGGTAAAATGGTCTATTCAAGAGAACTCTAGCATTTCCAGCCGTGACAATTCTCTGGTCATTCATATAAAAAAACCTACTACAGACAGTGGTACTATTATTATTATTACTCCCACGACTTCCTAGCAACCAGCGCACTAATCACTGAACCCTGTCAACTTCCCCCAGGGAGGATTAGACCAACAGTACGTATTTTCATAATTTTTTCAAAACAGACAAGTGATGTTAAATTTTACGGATTGGATTGGGTCATGTTAGAGAAGTTAATAAGATCTGTATTAAATTAGATCAGATTAGGTATCTTCTCATCCGCCAAAATCTTTTAAACTCACCAGTATAATCTCGTTGAGTTGGCTCATTTATCTTTATATTAAGCTTTATTTCTTCTCTGCAGGGTTGTTTTTTTGCTGATGTTGAACTTCTAAATTGAATGGTTCAGTTTTAATCGCTATTATTCACATCGAAATCGCAAAAAATGCTTTTTTTAATTCCTGTTTTACGACGTCTTCAAAGCTTTTTTTTGACAATATAATTAAAAAGTAGAGAAGGAAAGCAAAAAATGGAATGAAATACAAGAGATAAAACGAAGTTCACCTTGAACTATAGAATGAAAAAGTTGAGTTTTCGCTTTAGCAGTCGTATATAGGCAACAACATACGAGTGTTTTATAATTCCATGAATTCATTCATATAAGTTTAAGCCTCATGATCCTCTATAAAGGGGCTTTAATTCGTTTTACTTCCTGCATTTTCAAATGACTTTTCTTCAAACTGGTTAATGATTTAAAAGCTAAACAAAGTATATACCAGATAAACAGCTAACTAGTTTTAAGCGTGCATTAGATGGTGGAGTACCCTATTAGTCTATCAACAATACTTACCTAAAACAAGCTCTTAAAATATCCCTTAGCTCTTGTCTGTGATTGGCTCATAACCTAAGGTAAATTTAACTAAGCCGGTTAATAGCCATTATTTGTTCGTTTCCAAGGTAACACGATAAAATCTATGTTCCCGGATGTCTACAAAACCTGTCTATGATTGAAGTATGAGTTCCCTGATAGACTACTAAAAACCCTGGCTATATTTGGTTGATTGACTGACATCTAAGGTCCCGGATTGAGTAGAGTCTGGCTTTGACTGGTTGAAGTCTGAGTTCCCGGATCGATAACAGAGCCTGTCTGCGATTGGTTGATAGTTCCTAAGGTAAAACCGGCCGACGGAACGGGAGAGTAAGGACTATATGCAGGAGGGTAAAAAAACCGCATTGTAAGACTGGTAACGACCTTTTGGTGGATGGTAATTGTCTCGACACGTTCATACCCACAATCCTATGCACCACGAGGTCGTTACTAGTCTTTCTTTTAAAGGACTTCGGAAAGTCGATTCAACTGAAGAAGTTTTTTCATATCATAAAAACAAAAGCCCCAATTTTTTTGTCAGCGTATCCCATATCCTTTTTTCTTTACTTATATGTCCCTTATTCAATAACCCCATATTTGAACCTTTATTAAAACAAAACGAATTAAATAAAAATCAACCATCTTCAGTTTTGACATTACCCACCATAGTTAGGCCTAGACATCATTCAGTATTGTATGGTCATGTCATAATGGCCAAGCGGGCGCGCGAGCGAGGTGACCATGATTATTTGATTGCTTTGTATATTACTATCAAAACTGAATCTCGTAATCTGATCGATCTATAGAAGCAATGCCATTAGCGCTAATGTAGATCAAATATACCAACAAAAGAGCAAATGCTTGTTTTATTGGCCTCAAATGAGCTATGTCGAGGGACTCGATCCTTTACTAACACCGTCACTACCTGACTAGCTGAAAACCAACTGTTCTCTTTGGCGTGAAGTGGGGATCGAGCATTTTGCTCGCAGGCGTGAAAACATGTCTACAGAAAAAATACAGCTACAACCTAGGAACCTGGAACATTAAAAATAATTCAAGCGTTTTTTTAAAACCTTCTTGGTGGAAATCAATAAACTCTTGTTGCCAAACGGTAGTGCATTCGGGTGGAATATTTTTTTTACGAAGCGAAATTTGTCTATGAATACCTGCTATGGAGTAATGAAAAAGGGGTGGAAATGTGAGAAGACACTATCTTTTCAATTATCTATCTTTTGTTCAATTCGGTCACTTGAATTGAATATGAGTAATATTAGAATATTGGGAATAATGAGAATGATTTGGGCGAGCACATGAAAACACTAGACCAATTTAGATTTCAAGACAATCGCCAAGGCAGCGCAGACAACATTGATTCCCAGTTTCATTACGAGTAAGGAAACAAAATATTTTCACATTAAATTAACACTTACATAATAATCGAGAGCCAAAATTGATATAGTAAAAAGGCTTCTTCGTAATTTTCCAATCTTTATAGGCCACAGTATTGCTGTGATGAATTCTTGGTCGTTTTTCTGTTCGTGTTGTTGATTTTCGTCCAGTCTCTTAGGCCTCATTATTATCTTTTATCAAACGGATAAATAACATCGAAAAACGAAATCTGAATTACAAATTTTGCGTGCGTCCTGCTGCGCTGAGTTTAATTCTGTTGCTTGGTATTTGGCTTAAACGGAATTGACCAATTATTTTACCTGGTTGACTGACGATGTTTCCCGCCATTTTTTCTGCCTTGTGGACACACGCGTTGGCTGAGAATTGCAGGCAAATGAAAGGTGGTTGGAATAACAATATAATAGGAACGAGTAAGGAAAAAGAGAAAGATAAACTAACAATTTAAACTGCTATTGCTATCAATGTTATTATCAACTGATTTGTAGGAAAAACCCCTCAGTTAGGCATCGGAAGAGGATTGCTTTGAAAATGGCTTGAAATCCATAGCACTATTTGAAATAAGGCATACTGTGTTTTAGACCCTGTGTGTTAAAGTCGGTACTGCGAGGTGCACAAATATTGTCATTCGTGCGTTTCCCGCCAAAAAAAAACAACAGAGTTTGACCGCACGCGCTGAATGCTTGTGTTAGAGGAAAAAAAATGGAAATAAAATAAATGAATGGATGAATGAATAGATAAATAAACGAATAAAGGAAACCTAAGCAAAGAAAAACTAAATTAAATGAATAAATATACAAATAGTAAATCTTAAACATAATGAATATTAATCTGTAGTATCGTGAAAAGAATATATAATTGTAGTAATGTTTAAGACAATCACTGCATGTGTATTTGTTTGTGGGCCAAGATTTTAATTCCTCTGGGAATTGCTGTAAGCCATCGGTTTTGCTAATACGCCTCTTAGTTGAAAAATAATTATAAATAGTGACATGTATAATGGTGGTTCTCTTGCCGTTATATTATGTCAGCCTAATTCTATTATTATGATCAATGTTTTAGTTCTTGTTCATCGTTCTCCCGGCATTTGTGGTCCTTTTGCCCACCCGTGACAAAAACCCCGCCAATGCCAAACACTTGATTCTGATCTGAGCGTTAACTAAGCCATTCTCAGATCGTTGACGCACGATTCATGTTTTTTTTTGTTATAGATTTTCGACAAATTACTATCGTGTGGAATTGATTTGGTTCGTCCAGACGAGAGAATATTGTAAGCACGTTTAGTTACTATCTTGCGGGCTGTAGGATAGAGACCGACGGACAGACAGACAGTGACACAGTCACTCTTAGTTTTAATTAACACTTCAAACACTAAAAGCAAGAATTTCCAATTATAACTAAAGCAATATTTATCTTAAACACGCCTTCAAAACGAAACAAATATGAATACAGTCCAATATTTTTTTACACTTTCATAACAAAAATGACAATTTTTTTTTCTTTTCTTTGAAAATCATAACTACAAGACAAACGTGGAAACCTGGCGCCGAAAACTGCTTTTCTTAATGGCTCCAGAAAGTTTTTGCTTTCCTCAGGCGTAAAGCCTTCACATTTTATCGAGTTCTAATATGTGGAGCCAAATCCTTATCAAACACGGCATCTATAGTGGGACAAACTACTTCACGCAAACCCATCTAATTGTCTTTGCATTTTTGCTCTTAGTCTTCCGTTTCTGTTATATTTTTCCCGTTCTTTACTAGTCCAATTTTTGTCTAATTTTGATCGAGAAAAGCACACAGATAATGGCTTTAGCTGTATTATATATTTTCCATTCTAATTTTGTAAAACGAACTTCACGTGATAGTCACAAAAATCATCAGTATGTAAAGGATGTGGCTAGTTTGTGAACAAAGAATCAAAAATCGTTCATTTTTTCCCATACTTTGATTCTTTTTACATTTTTCTATCAATTTCCTTCCTACATATTTTTTTTCTTTTTTGCATTTTTTTCTGTTATTTCCTCTTCATTCTTTTCTTTTTTGACATTCAAAAAAATAAAAAAATAAAAATAAAATCACACACTCTTTCTTGTGTAGATATACGAAAATTCTGAAGCAAAGAATTTGGGGCAAAGTTTTGAGGCATTTTCTTATTCCAAATCGTATCATTTTCAGCAATACTATAACCAATACTTGCTGAGTTAAAGGCAAAAAACAACTTTAAATGTATTCAATAAAAAAATAATTGAAATTTTAAGACTGGATTTGTCTTTCAGATCAAGTGGCTTAGGATTAATCGTTTCCCTGTTCATCAGCCACAACACTTCCATACCAGACACCAGTGACATGTCTTCTAAGTTTCGTATTGTACTATATCACGACAGACGACAGCAACTGACCCCCTTCTATTTAGAAACCTAGTTTCATTTATTCCAAATAAGAATCGTCTACTACAAGCACATCAACCTTTTATTTCTTCATCCTTTTATCCTTTCGCTACTTGTAACATTTCTTTAGTGGATACTATTTTTTCTCGTGGTTTTCCATTTTTCTTTCCTCGCTCTTGTTCTTTTCTGTCAATCTTCTCCCATTCGTCGAAACGAACTATTTCATTCCCTAAATAAATGAAAAGAAAATTGAAAAAATCGAATGAGTAAAAACGGATTATCTGTTATTTATGCATTGGGAGTCCATTACTAACTGAGTCACTAGTCAAGAAAATGCATTAGAGTTTAGTAGGATTACGACGAGTTAAGCTAAGGGCATGTGATGGGCTTCCGAAAACATCTCTATATTTTCTAAATATCCTATTTCAGCTTTTATTTCTATTCTTGATCTTACATACAGCTTCCAACCATGAGAGAACTGGTCACAGCCCCGACTAATTAACATCCTATGGAAGAAACGGTTGATATGGTTCGGACATGTTGTCCGGATGCCTGCGACACGCCCAACCCGAAGACGTCTGGGAACCACCAGGAAGAAAACGACAAGACAGACAACGCATGCGTTGGAAAAACAGAGACCTGATGGAGTCATATACATGTTAAGAAGGCAGTGAGCGCTGATCGCGACAGAGCACCTTCGCGGAACGTTGAGCTGGCGCTGTGGGTCGGACCCATGACAGTCCTAGATAGACATCTGTCAATCTATAATAGTGCATGTTATACCTTGGTTAATTGATATACGCATGGTAGCATCTACCTAGCTATGGAACATGCGCAAATATGAGTATTAAATTATGCTGCTGCTGATGATGATAGTAATAATGATGATGATGCAAATATTGGAAAGTGAAAACTACACATCACTATACACACTGAGGATACCTTACCTTTCTTTTCTAGTAATCCTTGGATTGCTGTCAGACCTCGTTCAGATGCACTGTGACTCGATATTCCTAGCAGTTGAATCAATGAATAACATTACAGACTTACTCCGGCTCAAGAAAGGTAGACTTGAAGAAGCCCGCTCAGGCTTCAAAGTAAGGTAAATCTCAACAGATTCTTTTGTCCAGAGTTTGCTGCGCAAGACTTGCTCTCACGAAAGTTAGGAACCAGGAAGCGCATAAGTAGAGTAATTCTTAACCGTTTTTTTTAAATCAAGAAACCTCAGCTTCAACAAATATCATCGCCTGCTTCGATTATTTGTTGCAAACTACTTCAGAGTAAATTAACGGCTGTTCGAGAAAAGAAATTTTTTTTTACCTGCGTTAAGATCTTGGACCACTAGTTTTCCTGTTGCAAACGCATCGTTCATTGTTGTGGCGATGACCCCAACAGGTCCATGTCGTACCCATCCACTGCAATATAGACCTATTGAAAAGAAAACAGCACATAAGAAAACTACTTAGAAATAGTGGATTTCTAAGCTACGAATACAGATCGTACGGGCTCCCTGTGGGTTTAGTCGATTCTAGACAGACAAAAGTTGACGTAAAAAGAGAAAGAGAGAGAATAGTGAATATATGAAAAAGCATCTCATTTTACCAGTGGTGCCAAGGACTCTGCCATCTTCATTTGGTATGATGCCATTTTTATGATCGAAAGGGACCGTATCATCGATTGGGACGCTTTTGTACCCAATGCTACGAAACACCTGGAACAAATATAATAATTATCAATAAAACTAAAAACACTTTTGTCAAACAGTTTTTGAACCCTACAAATCAGTCGTGTGTGATAATTCCTCACCAGTCCACATGGTACATCTTCTGTTTGCCCGGTCCCTTCAGCACGAGCCACACCTGCAGGAGACTAGATCAAGAAATATAAAATACAATTAGGTCCTGTGTGATTATATGTCATACAGTCTTATTGGTTGCTAAACAATAAAAAAAGTGATAAACATACCTCTACTAGTTTGTTTATTTCTAATCTTATTCCTTCAACACGTGACCCATCATTCATTGAAAAAATTTCCACTGGACTCCGTAAAAACTTGACTCGCCATTCAGTGGTTGCCTGGAGACGCCGTTCAGTCTCTTGAGGAGTATGTTCTTCTCTTTAACGTAAAATAGATAGCAAGAGATAAGGTGAAGGTGCATGGATGTGTAGAGTGGGTGATACATAGGCTAATCAGGGCGGTCTGTTAGGATGGGCTTGGTGGGGGTATATAAATAGGTGTTTGTAGCGGTCCATTTTCACCATACCTCATACTTACAATGCAATTTTGTACATCAATTCTGTTAACCTTTTACGTGATCTTGGAATTTCTGAAATCAAATTTACCATTCAAGAAATTTCTTGCATTACTTTCATTTTATAGTAACTCGCAACTGGGTATTTACAGAGGTGTCTGAACATGAGAATCAAAGGTACAGAGTAACAGAATCAGCAATTAAAGTAATGCAGGAAGTGTTAGAAGGAATGATTAATATTTGCTGATGATAACTTACTGGGAAGAACTTCTTTCATTGGCTTCATGTCATCAGGAGGGAACACTGCCCTTGTCCCTGCTATTTTGGTTAACTCTCGTAGTTCCTTGATCGTAAAGGCAACCTGGCAAAAATACAGCAATGATGTGGAAGTTAATGGTGTAGTGATGATATTGATAAAGACTGTGGTGATGATGTTGACAAGGTGACAATAGTCGTTCATTGGTGCTGATAATGTCAACAATGTTGACAATGGTGATGATAGTGATGATGATGGCAATGATGTTTATAATGGCGATGTTGATGGTGATGTCATGGGTTGTGATGATGAAGATGAAGGATGCAGTACCTGTAAAGGTCCTCTTCTTCCAACAATGTACACAGTCTTTACTTTGCTCAACTTCAAGGCCTCAATAGCATGTTCACAGATATCTGTTTGCTGAAATTTTAATTTTGATCTGAAAATAAGAGTTATTGCTCCACAGAAATTAAATTATTTAATCATTTTTTGGTCTACCTGTGGTAAGAATACCACAGGAAGCCCAAACATCCTCTAACTTTACCTCAAGAAAACTGATTGGAGACAAAAGGATCCTTGCCACATCCAGAGCTACATTTCCTTGTCCAAGGATGACTGCTGTTTCTGAGCTCAGATCTGGAGACAACTTCAGGTTATGGAATAAATTAGAGAATATAATAAGAAAAATAGAAATGATTCTGAGAATCCAAGTGGTGGATTTAGGGTTTTGAAAAAGAGGGCCATCATTGAAAGGATAAAAGACAGTTTCATTCTTCTTGCATACAATTGTACAATAACTCAACAAATAATTGAATTAAACCAAATAAAATTCTAAAGTTTAACCAATCAGTCAACTTATATTGGTGCTTCCTTTGTGCTTCAATAACATCCTCTTTTCACAAGGGGAGGGGGGAGGGGCGAGTCCACTCCTATATCTCTGCCACAGAATCCTCCCTTTGACCCTTTATTGCCAAGCATTAATTAGTGATGATCATTTTATTTACTTACTTCAATGTTTTCTGGTAGTCCATTATACCAGCCAACAAAAGCTCTTGCTGCATACACTCCATGTAAATCCTGAAAAACATTCAAAAGTCTTAACCATTTTCCTAATCTAAGACTTGCTGTAGGTCAATACCTTTTGCTAATATACAATAAAATTTCAAGAGACCACTGACACCATTTTACCACTCAGTTTCATTCATACCAGTCCAGTACATTTTCAAATGTATGCCCTCGCACTGACCCCCCAAAACAAACATCAACGTTTTTGAAAGTTCTCCTGTACATGGTCCTTTTTTATGGTCATTTCATTATTCTAAACAATCAATATACACATAGACATACCTCTCCTGGGATCCCAAGTCTTCTGTCATCTTCTGCTCCATAACACTGTAATATACACAAAAGGGTATTGCAAAGGGGTGAGTTGATTTATATACACCTGTCATGACCCACCCCTTCCCCTGCAAATTCCAGTTAGTGCACCTAGTGTACTCTCTATCCTCTATATATAAGCATTTTTTCAGTTATTTTATATTCTTATTTCAAAAAGTTTGCCAGTGCCAAAGGCAATAAGTCACTCCAAGATCCAAGAATAACTGGAATATCTTGTTTCTGCTTTTTATTTTCTTCAAGAACGTGGAGCTTTAATAATGTATTGAGAGATTCAATGACGTTTGTAGTTAATGAACCCATTTTGAAGACCTGTGTCATTAATGCTTAGGTGTATACCCATAATTTCGTTCTCTCTTGGAATGACCTATCCCCTTACTCCTTTGGCTCTGACCACCTTTTTTTGAAATAGGTGTATACTACTACGGTATTTGAACTTATTCAGGAGTTTAGTACCAGGACAACTGAATCATAAGCTTGCTGTAGGTCACTGACTTTGACGTCTTTCCCAACATTAATGTTCCCATAAAATGAGCATCTTTCTGACAAAGCAGTTGTAGTGAATTGGTTGATGCAGTTCTACAGAGAGAGAGAGAGAGAGAAAAGAATCAATAAAAGAATAAATGAATAAATCAAAATTAATTGAAGCATTATTATGCAAACCTTTGTTTCTGGATGGTCTGGTGCGATGCCGAATCTTGCAAGACCAAACGGAATTGGTAAACACTCAATTATATCTACATGGACTGAATCATGTGACTGAAATGAAAGAAATTTTGCACTGTTATGCATTCCGCTACTTTACTCAACTCCTTTAACTTATGGAAAATTAGGCCTAGGGCAAACATCGGACTTTCCATGCACCAAACTCATTAAAAACAATGGATATCAGGTGATAATGAGGCGGTATTCTTTAGTGTAATTAAGTTCGGCGCATGGAAAGTTCGACGTTTGCTCTAGGCCTTAGATAATGATTATAATAAATATAGCAATAGTAGATATGATGCTTTACAAGTGATAACCCTGTACATTCACTTAAAAATAAAACATCTCAAAAGAAGTTTTTTGGAATATTTTTGAGAAAAAGTTCAAAAAGTATTAGGTGTAAAAACATTAGCACAGCTATAATAAGAAGTGAAATGTCTTAGAATGGGCTTCCTGTGTAATTACATAACAATTCCTACGCGGTGTAGTAGATGATAATGACTATCTAATAAAGACTAATGCTACTAACCTTGAGTATCTGCTGTGCAGTATAGAATCCAGCAGGACCCGCTCCAACAATGCACACTCGAGGATTCTGAGAGCTTTGCCTGGGCGAACCAGACCCACTAGATGAGCAACTAAAATGTCTATAAATAATACGAATGTTTGAGTATTTAGTCCTCGAGCGGTAAAATCCTTGATTAAATAATTGTTTAATTGCTACAGTCGATCTCATTTTACGATAATTTAACTGCTTGGAACATTACATTGGACCCTAAGTAACGAACGCCTCTATTAATGGGTCACTTGACTAGTTCCCAGACCACTGGAACCACGACCCAGCTGTGTTATGGGTAATTTTCAATATGGCGGCTGCAAGTGGAGGAGCAGACGAAGGTTCTTCGACAAAGAAACCTGCTTGTATTATCGTTCTCGGCATGGCGGGGTCTGGAAAAACTACCTTCGTACAGGTAAGCTTCTTGTCTTTCTTTCTTGGGGTTGGTATAGGTGTTTAGAACGCGTAGATTTGAAAATAATCGCTTGAACATTATATTAAAGATGTTGACACGTGATCTGTCACTTGGAATCATTCGCAATTAAAAAGTTTATAATACTCATACTACTACCAATAATATCCTATTATATTAATGGTTAGACCTTCAAGTCTTCTCGGACAAGGACTTMAACCGCGGCCCATTCTCCCAACCCTTCCTAACCTAACCTACAGTAAATGGGGGACATAAAAGAACCTGTTGAATTATTCGTATAAGAGTAGGGGATTGTGTCCTGGTTCAACAGCCTATTCCAATAAGCCTGAAGCGAGATGACGTTTTACCCCCGACTCCGAAAATTTTTGATTCCTTAGAGAATACAGGAACAATAGTGATAATTAAAGAACAAAAGCAGTGTGAAAAGGATTATGGTCTAGAGACGGGGGTAAAACGTCATCTCGCTTCAGGCTTATTTGGAGGCATAATACTAATCTACTGAAAATTCATACTCACGATTGTACGATGCAGGGCTGCCAATAGGGCCTTAATATGCAGCCCGTAAAGTCCTCCACTTGTCAAAATTGTAAAGCGCATTGAGACCATGTGAAATGCGCTATATAAGAACCCCATTCTTCTTCTTCTTATTATTATTAATATTACTGCGTCTTAGTTTTAGAGATATTTGATTGGCGTCCACCAAAACTCTATTATGTCTTGAATTTTTTTTTCACAATTTTGCAGATGGAATTGAAAAGCCCTGTAAATGGAGTATGAATGTCTAACAAACTTTTTTTTACTATATTTAGAGACTGACAGCACACCTTCATTCCAAGAAAACTCCACCATATGTAGTCAACCTGGACCCTGCTGTACATGAAGTGCCATACCCTGCAAATATTGACATTAGAGATACTGTGAATTATAAAGAAGTGATGAAACAGTTTAAACTTGGTCCTAACGGTGGTATTATCACATCATTGAATCTGTTTGCCACAAGATTTGATCAGGTCATGAACTTCTTGGAGAAAAAGGGAAAGGAATATCAGTAAGTTTTTATCCTCTCACTCCCACACTCACTCCCTCTCTCCCTTCCTTTAAGGATTAGGCATTTCTAAGTTGTTGGTTAGTGCATGACCTTCAGAGCTTGAGGTCCACAGTTCGATCCTCAGGATCTCCACATCAATTTTGATTTCTTTCTAACCTGCGTACCTTCAGCTTTGAATACTCTTAAAACAGAGCATGGAGAGAAGGGCCTTTTCTTACTTCTTTCTTTACTTCCTTCCCTCCAAGTATTCCTCTCTTCATTCTTCCCTTCACCTCTCCCTTCCTCACTCCTCTCTATTCCCAATCCCCTCCTTCCTTTCATCCTTCCTTAATTCCTCTCTCCTTCCTTTCATCCTTCCTTCATTCCATTCTTCCTTCCTTCCCTCTTTCACTCCTTGTTTTTCTATCTCTTAGTAACCTTGATCCTCTATCAATACATTGTATAACCTGTGTTTTTTCCATACTTCATCCAGGTATGCAGTATTTGACACTCCTGGACAGATAGAAGTATTTACCTGGTCAGCGTCAGGGTCCATCATTACTGAGGCACTTGCTTCATCATTCCCTACAATAGTTGTGTATATAATAGATACTGTAAGAAGTACCAATCCTGTGACCTTCATGTCCAATATGCTCTATGCTTGCAGTATCTTATACAAGTCTAAACTACCATTTATTGCTGTCATGAATAAGGTACAAGGATTCAATAACATTCAAGAAAAGAATTTATTTTTGCAGCAAATATATGTGATTACTGTGGAGACACTCTACAGGGACCACTTTTACAAATTTAACCAATTACAATGTAGAGTGAAAGCTGGAGCCAATCAGGAGAGAGCATGATAATTAGCTTATTGACCTCAGCCAATCACAATCTTTTATTTCCAGGGTTGTTGATAACATCTAAATTTTCTGTCAGATATAATCAAATCTTGGCATTCATGCTCGCTCTGATTGGCCAAAGTTGGAATGCTATTTTCTAAACTGCCATTTATAAGAAATTCTTCTTCATTACTAAGGCTTTTCTTCTCATATTTTCGATTGGTTTTGATTTGACAGACAGACATTGTTGACCACAGTTTTGCAATAGAATGGATGCAAGATTTTGAAGTCTTCCAAGAAGCCTTAGCTCAAGATACAACATACATGTCAAGTCTGACAAGATCCATGAGCCTTGTCCTTGATGAGTTCTATCAAAATCTACCAACTGTTGGTGTGTCGTCTATGACTGGAGCTGGCATGGATGAATTTATTGATGCTGTTGGTAAAGCTGTTGATGAATATGAAAAGGAATATAAGCCAGGTAAACTTGTTATTTATAAAATCATGTAACAGTTCACAGTTCACTCGTTGAAGAAATGTATCCTTAATTTGAAGATTTGAAAAATGGCTAAAAAATATGTAAAATGGCTGATTAAGATGTCAAGTATGATGTTGACAAAGCTGCTGATGTCAAAAATCTTATTCTAATTTTAAGAATATGAAAGATTAAAGGCAGAAAAAGTGGCTAAGGCTGAGAAGGAAAAACAAGAACAGCTAGAAAAACTTCAGAAAGACTTGGGAGAAGGGAAAACTGTTCCCCTGAAGGGTAGCTCATCACTTTTGTCATCACAGCCCATGCCATCAGGAGTCTCATTTGGAATCAATCTTGATAATGATGATGATGATGATGATGATGATGACATGAACATTGAGGAAGAAAATGAAGAAGAGAAAAAAGAATATGAATCATTCAAGAGATTCCTGGATGAATCAACAAAGAAAGAACAATTAGATAAAAAGGCTGATAACTAATAACAAAAAATCTTCTGGTTGTCATATATTTATATGTTATTTTTTACTATAAGTAAATAAAGTGAAGTAGAACGATGTCTGATTGTATTTTTTGCCTACTGGGTTACCTGTGTAAGATCAGGGTTCTTGGTTGATACCGTTGTCATGCCGACCCGAGGACATCAGAAAAGTGAACAAAGATGGCGGCGGCGGTCGCTCATTCCGCTAGAGCAGAAACAACTGCTTCTTTAGCCTCAAGCTTTGAAAACCTTAATCTAAAAATCAAAGCAAAGCCTAAAGAAGGGAATGATCCGCTAAAAGTTCTTGATCCTGTTAGGAAAAAGCTCACCTCAGTCGAAGCACAACGAGTCGTCGCTGTTGCTGATGAAACTATTCGAAGAATCGAGGTCGTCACTTTGCTTCCGTACATTACTGAAAATCTCGACCGCTTCTCTGTTATTTTAGGATCAGACTTGTGTTCTGTATTAAGGGAACACGATAGATTACAAGATGCTTACAGAAAGGGTCTGGCACGATATGAGTTGGAGCAAAAACGTAATCGTTCAACAACACCACAACAAATCAGATTTCAAACTCCTGGTTCATCAAGAAAGTCGAGTCTCGCTTCTGAAGACATAAATGAAAAAGAGCATGACCTTCCCATAACGGAGGCTGCCAAAACAAGCCGTCATAGTTCTTTAGCAAGTGGTAGTGGAATTTCACAGAAGGAAGATTTGACAAAAGACCGCGACAGTGATGGTAGTGAAGTCGATGTTGATAGACTTCAACATTTGGGTGTCCTTGTACAAAACTCTATTAGGACTGTCCTTCGAATGTTTTCTACCAACCCTACAGCTATAACAGCCTTGAAGAAAGAAAGAAGAGAGCGCTCTGTGGAAGCTAACTCAATGATTGATGAACTTTTAATCCTGCGTGCGATTTTGTTTGAGAGACTACTGACAACACCAAGTGAGGTTAAGGATAGAAGTTTCTATTTGAAGACCGTGATGGAAAGAGAAAAAAAGTCGAGAGCCATTGCTAACAAACTACAGGAAGAACTACAGAAAGCTGTTGATGATAAAGACAATGAGGTAATTAGATTATCCTAATTAATATATTAACAGATGATGTGCAGTTTCAGAAATTATCCGTACCTACTCCCCCCCCCCCCCCCCAACAGAGAAATTTGGAATTTCCGAGGGATAGGGGGTCAGAGAAAGAACGAGATTACAAAGTTTGCGTGGAAGAAAATTGGAAATTATTTCCGTGCTAAAGATTCGTGCTCTTGCACATTGGCTATTGTTAAGCTCTCACTTCATTTAAGGCAGTTTAATGACTTTAATGGCACCCAAAAGGTTGTTTTGGTGTTCAATAAAATTTGGTGTTTGAAGGTCATAATTCTAATGTTCTAATACTAACTAATGAAAATTTTTGCCCCTAGATTTCAAAAAGGAATGAGATGATCCGCAAACTCAAGAATGATATATACACAATAGATAGCAATTCAGAGGAACAGAACAGAAGGGTTGTCAATGAGGCAAGCAAACAGGAGACAGCTGAAATGAAGAACTCTGACGGAAAGAAATCAAAACTACAGCAAGAAATAATTGAACAGAAAAAGAAGCTTGATACTGAAAGAGCAGCTCACAGAGCTAGTGAACTTGCTCTTAGGAAGGTATGTACCTTTTTGGGGGCACAAATCCACCCCCTCCTAATCCACAGGAAGTTCAAGTGAATATCAATAATTGTTATCCCTCCTTAGCCACTCCCTGTGAAGGCTGTATGTGCCTCTACCTTGTGGTCTCCATACACCATGGCTTCTGCTCGCTTATTCAATTATTGAACAGGCCCATTACCAGGGGTAGTTTGAAGGTGCAAACTAAGTTACTTCTCTCTTTCTTCCTCTTTTCAATGTTACTTTCACTGGGAGCACGGGTGATGTGCACCACTAATGCACCATCACTCACCAATGTGACGCAGTTCATTTCCCATGGTCCTTGTCATGTGACTAGAGTTGCTTGTTGGTTCTCCTGTGCTTTAAGGGTTTTTCACTGAGTTCTCCAGTTTTTCATCCAGCTCAGGAATTAATTTTTAAATACGATTTAATCTTTGGGCTTTTACTTAATTGGAGCCTGGCTCTGGTGCGATTGTCCAAGGTCTGTAGATCTTTTTCATATTCAAATGTGCTATTCCTCTAGGGCCGTCAGACCTAAGGGTGGTTGCATAGGTGCCTATACGAACATTCTTCCAGCTCAGGATTTCCTGAAAAAATGTCAGGGAATAGCATCTCTAAGAATGTACATTTATTTTGTCTAGGTCTAAGGTGGATCTACGTTGACTCATCACTTTTTTTGTTTTCTTTGCAGCGCAAGTACAAAATTGAAACTGAAGTAGAAAACTGGATCCAAAAGTTTGACAGCGATATGGGAGAACGCCAGGTATGTTTTGACTCTGCATAATTCATGAAATTCCTGTCAACAATTAATAATGATAACAATAATAATGCATTTGGTTGAGCGCTTTCCAGTCTGTTCTAAGCGCTTGTAGGAATAATTACAAGTATGTATGAAAAAATATATATACACACTATTCTAACTACAAATTAAAAGCTAATTTGAACAAGTAGGTTTTCAGTTCAGATTTAAAATTGGAGAGATTAGTAGCGTTTCTAATTTATAGAGGCAGTCAATTCCAAAGTTCAGGAGTAGCAACAGAAAAGGGCGATGGCCATATAATTTTAGATGATACAGTTTTGAAGAAAGTAGTGACTTTGTTGTTGAACGGAGAGTGCAAGTAGGTTGATATTTAGAGTTGAAGGTATATGGGGTCAACATCGTTCAATGACTCTCTAGTCATGAATATTTAGTTAACCTTGGCTTAACATTATAAAATTAATACTAATTTATTGGTTTATTCTGTAGGATGAGTTTGATGCTTTAGATGTTGTTTACACTGAAGAAAAGAAACAGCTACAAGAACTCGAGGAACGATTCAAAACCCTTGAAAAAGAATACCTTCAAATCGTTGAAGAAAGGAGGATAGCCAAAGAGAGAGCTGAAGCCGCCGAACGTGAGCTGAATATGAAGATTCGCGCCGCTAGACTCATCCAAGCAATGTGGCGCGCACACAAGGCGAGAAAAGCACTACAGAAGAAGAAGAAGAAAGGAAAGAAAGGCAAAAAAGGGAAGAAAAGTGGAAAAGGGAAGAAAAAATAGAAGGTCGATATTCTTGGCGCCAAAAATTTACTCTGGTCGTGTTTATCGTAAAACACGTCGGGAAGAAATTTTTATCGCCGAATTACTGTATAGTATGAAGTTTTTCCTTCTAAGATTCTTAAATACTGAGCGTACTTGAGAATATCACTGGGCTCTCTTACTCTCAACTGGCTTTTTAATCGAAGAATCGTGATTGGATAAGGCCCGTTTTCTCAGACTTTGATTGGTTCTGACTGAAAGCCATTCCTATGTCATACCATAAAGAAAAATGACCAGTACTGACGAAATTCTCTACTGGATGTAAAAAAAATCGATGTAACGATTGGTTCGTATTTTATAGTTTCGCGGTAGAACACTATAAGAACGAGAATGAAAAACATGAAATATCTTGTTTAGAATGTTAGAATAACGTATCATAAAAATAGCCTTGTAAAATTAGTAGGTCAAGCAGTGTGTATTAAAATTTTAAGAAATATTTTTTCATGATGCGCAAAACGTTTTTTACCAGTGCAAAGAAATAGTGGAACATGTTGGTACTAAAGTTGATGGTGGTCAACTGATGCATGATGCATGGTACTGTCAATGATGATGATAATGGGGGTCGATGGAAGGCAATGATGATATGGATGATGATGGTGATGATGATGATGGCAATGACTATAATGGTGGTGATGATGATTATGATGATGGTAGTGATGATGGTAGTGATGATGATTATGATGATGGTAGTGATGATGATTA